AAGCAGGTCACAACTGGATAGTCTAAGCTCCTGCCAAAAGCTAATTTCAGCTCCCTGTGAGATCAGGGCTGGGTCCCTTTGAAAAGATGCTTCTGGGGAGAGGACTATCTGCCTGTCCCAACACCCAGCTGCAGGTGATAGGGCCCAAGTGAGTTCCAGGCCTGGATCCTCCCTACCCACCCTGGCCTGGGGAGCTTGCAGGAGCAGCCTAGGGCTTCCTAGTTCAGCCTCTCCCAGTGACCTTGGCCCCACCCTTTTTGCCTGGGCCTCAGTTTCCTCACCTACACAATCAGAAGGGAGGGGGAACACAGAAGAGATACGCAAACTCCATGAGTGACAGCCCAGGGCAGGTGGGGCTGGGTGGCTTCTCTCCAGAAGACTGGGTTCTGGTCCTAGTTCCCCACTCTGGGCCCTTCCCTCACCATTCACCACCTCCCTCCAAAGGAAATCACAGTGAAACTGGATCTGACCTGACAAATCCCACCCACCTACCCTCACCCCCCATGGGGTCCTCCTTCAGTGCCCACACACCGCCCTACAGGGAAACTGAGGACTAGACATGAGACATCTTTGGTAGAAGATCCCAGAGAGTGGAGTCCTGCGATTGCAAGTGCAATCCCACTTTACCCACCCCAAAATTCGGTCCCTTTCAGGAGCCACTCAGCGTAGGGCCAGGGTTGGGATCCAGCTGTCAGAGCCGCAGCCTCTGGACGTCTGGCTCCTCTAGTGCCAGATGTCCGGCAGCTGTCGCTTTGGCCCCCTCCCCGTGTCCCAGTCCGGCTGGCCAGGAATGTGCTAACGGGGCAGGTTGGGCTCTGCTGGCTCACAGGGGCACCTATGGACTTTGAGAGGGGACCTAGTGAAGGGAGGGGCGGGACAGGGCGGGGCGTTGGTGCTAAGCTCAGGAAGGGCGGGGCCAAGCTTTGGAAGTAAGCCGGCCTGCAGTCTTGGAGCCTCCCTGCCACTGCTGCGCTGCCAGCTACAGACACAGGACACACAATGAAGCTTCTCCTTCCCTGGGCTCTGCTGCTGCTTGCAACGGCCCCAGGCCCAGGCCCCTTGCCTGCAGCAGGTATGTCCCCTCCCTTCCCTTCTGTCCCCCTGCCTGTCCATCTGTCTGTTGCAGACAGGCTCGGGTCAAATGCCCCTCTGGACTCCGCCTCTGACCAACTGTCGGGCCATGGGAAGAAACTGGGGGGTTTCCAGGGTCAAGGGCCACCCAGCAGGGATGGGGGTGGGGTCTGGGTGGTGCCCACCCTAAACCTGCTGGGAGCTGGGATGCATTGGCTGCCTGGGAAGGAAGTGGCTAGGTGGGTGGCAGGCTCAGAAGAGCCCTTGGCCTGTACCCAGAGCCCTGATGGAGTGTGTGCTTACCCATGGAGAAGCCCCCCCCCAGTCCCACTGATCCCCTGTATGACCAGAGGCAGGATGTGGGTCCTTGTGAGGGTGGAGCTGAACCCCAGAAAGTAGCAGAAGAACCACACTTAAGAACCGCGACCCTGCCTGCCCCTCCCACCCCATCCCCCACTCTGCTGGGCAAGGCTGGAGTTCACAGGCCTCCCAGCCCGTATCTCCTTAGCAGAGAAGAGCCACCACCCTCCTGCCACTTAACTCACTGGCATCACTCAGCCCCACCTACTTGAGCCATCGCATCCTCAGTCAATAAATATTTATTCACGTTGAGTGCCAGGCCCTGCGCTGGGTGAAGTGGGGCCACTGAGTGGCTCAGGCCCAGGCCTAGCCCTTGAATGATCCCCTTTAGGGGGTGTCAGGGAAGGCTAGGTGGCACGTGTGATCCCAGCCTCAGTACCTCCACCAAGTAGTGGAGACAGGTCCCTGGCCTGTCCCTCACCTGTGTCCACCTGAGGATGCCATCAGCTGCAGACTGAGGGTCCCTTGTACCCTAGGGGCTCCTTCTGACCCTACAAAGCTGTATGTTTGGAGGCACTTCTCCTTGTCTCCCTCATTTTAGCCAGTCACTCAGTGAACTGCTGGGTGATCTGTACTGAGAATTACCCTGGCCCATAGGCCCTGTGGGTTTCCACTGTGTCCACGTGGTGGTCAGTACAATCCCCGGCCGCAATCTGCTGGGCATGCTTCTCTCTAATGGGCTCCGGGAAATAGACACAGGCCCTGCGCATGGGGCAGCTGGTCCAGCATCCGATGGGGAGAGGTGCTCAGGGCCCTTCTTTTCCAGATGCCCAGGAGAGCTGCTCCAACCGCTGTGGGGAACTGGGTAGGCTCTGCTCTTGCCACCCAACCTGCTTTGGCCTGGGCAACTGCTGCTCAGACTTGCGGGACTTCTGCCTAGAGATCAAACCCTACTCAGGCTCCATGATGGGCGGCAAGGACTTCGTGGTGCAGCACCTCAAGTGGTCCAGCCCTATCAGCAGCGTGATCTGCAGGTGGGGGCACGAGGGTCCATGTATGCTGGGGGCAGATCCCCCAGCTTGCTGGGTGGATCTCTGAGAACCAAGGACAGGGAGAGCTGGTTGAATGGGTCCCCAAGGAGGTCAGGGGCCCAGGCCTCAGAGAGGGTCAGCTCACCCTGGCCCATCCTCTGCTACCTCTGCCCTCCACAGGTTTAGGGAGAGCGTCCAAACTCTCGGCCACGTGGACTCCCTTGGACGTGTTCATTGTGTGTCACCCTTGCTCTACGAGACTGGCCGAATCCCCTTCACCCTCTCCATGGACAATGGCCTCTCCTTCCCGAGATCAGGCACCTGGTTGGCTGGTGAGCCCCACCTTGTTGGCCCAGGCCATGGGCACAAGGCACCCTCCCCAGGCCCTGGCACCCCATGGGGACTTTCCCCAGTGCCAGTCTATGCACACCTGGCCCTCCCACCTGGGTCCTGCCACTCTGGCTGAACCAGTCCTTTGAGAGGCCCGCCCAACCACAGGGGTTTTTGGATTCCCAAAGCTCCTTTCTCTACCCCATGGCATCCAGGCAGGTGTGGGGGCTGCAGGGTACCCCAGAGGGAGTGGGGGCTGCAAGGGTACCCCAGCAAGACGGGCTAGTGCCTGCCTACTCAGCTGGGCCAGGCCAGGGGAGAGGAGAGCCAGGTGGAGGCCAGAGGCCTGGGCAATGGGGGATAGGGACCCATTCTCCCAGCCTCTGTCCTTTCCTACCACTGTGAGGGTCTGGAGAACACCATCGCTCTAATGGGGCTGACATACTCCCTTCTTGGGAGGCCCCCACAGCTCTTAGGGCCCCGGGTCCTCCTCCCCAGGCCTTCCCTCATCTTACCTCCCCCTGCCTAGTGCACCCCAGCAAAGTGTCGGAGACGGAGAAGAGCCAGCTGGTGAACGAGACCCGCTGGCAATACTATGGCACCGCAGGCACCAGGGGTAACCTCTCCCTGACCTGGAACGCCTCAGCTCTGCCCACAAGCTCCGTCACCATAGAGCTGTGGGGCTACCAGGAGACAGGTGAGGCACTCTGCAGGCTGCCTCTGCAGGGCCTGCTTGGTCAGAAGCATGAGCTTGCAGAGATGAGAGAAAGGGAATCCCAGGCTGGGGAAATCCTAGAGGGGATTGGAGTGAGGAAAGTAGAGACAAGGAAGGGGAATTGGCAGGGGTGTGGGTGGATGCTTGGCTTCTGAATACAAGGCTTGTCCTGGAAACAGAAAAGGCTTGCTTCCCTTTCCTCTCTGAGTCCCTGGATCGCTGACATGGCCCTGGGCCTGGCCTTGAGCAGGGACAGTGACCCTGAGTGTAGGGGAAGGAGGTGGTAGTCACTTTAGCCAGGGTCCTTATGGGAGCAGCAGGGAAGGTCCTGTTATGGGGCTCATCTGTCCGTACTCTGTCCATCTAGCAGGCTTCTCTGAGCACCAAAGACTGGCACCGACCCCTCCTCTGGCCTGGGGGTCCCTGGACAGGATGCATGGCTGACTGGGGCCTTCTCTCCCTCAGGGAAGCCATACTCAGTGGGGTGGACAGCACGGTGGTCATACCTGTACCCCCTGGCCACAAACATCCCCAACTCGGGCCTCTTCACCTTCATTCCAAAACCCGCACCGCAGAACTACCAGAGGTGGCACGTGGGTGCGCTTAGAATCGTCGACAGCAAACACTATGCGGGAGAGAAGTAAGGACGGTGCAGAGGAGGGGCAGGGGCAAGCTGCCCGTTGTCCGCTGCCTGCCCACCGCACCTGACGGGAAAGCCAGGGGCAGAGGCAGGGCAGGCAGCCCTCACTGCGCATGCGTCTTCACAGGGACGTGCACGCGCTCTGGAGCAACGAGCATGCGCTGGCCTGGCACCTGGGCGACGACTTCCAGGCGGACCCCGTGGCCTGGGCCCGCACTCAGTGCCTGGCCTGGGAGGAGCTGGAAGATCAGCTGCCCAACTTCCTGGAGGAACTGCCCGACTGCCCCTGCACCCTGGCCCAGGCCCGAGCTGACTCTGGCCGCTTCCATGTGAGTCCCCACCCAGGTCAGGGCCCAGGAACAAGCCAGGGTGCAAGTGGGGCCAGCGGCTCCCACCACGGCCACTGCCGTGCCCGCCCAGAACAACGCGAGGGAAGCAGATCGAGGCCCCTGGGAGGCGGGGCTGGGGTCTGAGCGCCCTTGTAGGGGATGAGATGGGAATGGCAGAGCCTGACACTGGGACAGGTGACAGCAACCTGCTGTTTTACAGACTGACTATGGCTGTGACATCGAGCAGGGCAGCGTGTGCACCTACCACCCAGGGGCTGCGCACTGCGTGCGCTCCGTGCAAGCCAGGTGAGAGCCCAGGTGGCGGTGGGGATGTGGGGCGGCGCCTGAGGCGGGATCCCCCATGCGGGGCCTGACCTGTCCATGCCCCCAGCCCCAAGTACGGCTCAGGCCAGCAGTGCTGCTACACGGCGGAAGGCACGCAGCTCCTGACGGCCGACACCACCAGTGGCAGCACCCCTGACCGTGGCCACGACTGGGGTGCACCCCCATTCCGCGCACCGCCCCGAGTGCCTGGCCTCTCCCACTGGCTCTACGATGTCATCAGCTTCTATCACTGCTGCCTCTGGGCGCCTGATTGCTCCCGCTACATGAACCGACGGCCGTCCAGCGACTGCCGTAGCTACCGGCCCCCTCGCCTAGGTGGGTGCCAGCCAGAGTGGGGTCCTGGGCAGGGCCAGGCCAGGGCAGCCCACCTGACCCTCCACTCTCCCCAGCCTCTGCTTTTGGGGACCCACACTTTGTCACCTTTGATGGCGCTAACTTTACATTCAACGGCCGCGGCGAGTACGTGCTGCTGGAGTCAGTGCTGACCAACCTGAGGGTGCAGGCTCGGGCTGAGCCCAGGACAACGCCTGAGGGTGAGGCCGGGGCCCGAGGGCTTTGGGTGGCTCAGGGTCACCCCGGGTGGGAGGCTGGAGCTGAGTGGACCCCATTTTGCACCCACCACCCCAGGCATGCGGGACCGAGGCACGGGGCTGACAGCTGTAGCTGTCCAGGAAGACAACTCTGACCTGGTGGAGGTCCGGTTGGTCAGTGGCACACGGATCCTGCAGGTGCTGCTGAACCATGAGGTGCTCAGCTTTGCTGAGCAGAACTGGATGGACCTGAAGGGTGAGTGGGACGGCCAGACAATGTCGGTGAGCTGCCCTCACTCCCTTTCCCTTCCACCTGGGCCTCCACACCTCTCACAGCCCTGGCCTGAAACAAGGATGGTGTCCAGGGCACAGGTGTGGAAATGGAGGTGTCTCAGTTTGCTGCAGAGCAACAGTCAGCCCCTCTCCGCTGCACCCCACTGCGGAAGGCGGCACAGTGGACATGCCCATCCATGGCTGTCTGTGGACAGACACGGTTCTAGGCCCCCTATAGCAAGTTCAGCCTGGAGAACCTGCTCTGATCTCGAGCCCTCACACCCCTGGAGCCCCGAGACACACACTGGTCAGAGCCCTGAGATGCCAGGACAGTGGGATGAGTCCTCACCGGAACCCAGAGGAGTTGGGAGCTGCAATGCTTCAAGGAGCTGTCCTGAGTGTTAAGGAGCAGCAGTTCCCTCTCCATTTCCCCTTTCCTCAGTGGTGCTGCTGCCTCGGAGAACTGAATGAATGAAATGACTCCCAGTTGGGATGGGTGGGGACCTGGGATGAGCTTATTGGCACTGAGAATGCAGGGACCTCTGGAAAGGGCAGAGGCTGCTGCCTCCCAGTCAGGGATCCAGGACCAACAGGCAACCCCCATGCCTGGTCACAGCATG